AAAAATATTGAGCTCAAAATTATAGGAACTAGTTGTCACATTTTGAGAGCCCTACCTATTATACTTTTGTCTGGACAAAACAGAAACTTTGAAGTCATTTTTGTCAGTTTCACACTCTGGAGTTAAGGTCTTATTCCTTTGTAGAGCAGCATGGAGATGTTATTGCTCTGCCTGAAATGTTCCACAGATTATCCATTCATATTTCTTCAGCTTTATCTGGGGACAGGAGGAGGAGGCAGTCAGCAGTGTGAGCAGGGACGCCCAGACTTCCTTTTCCACAGACATTTCCTCCAGCTCTTCCAGGGGAACCCCGAGGCGTTCCCAGGCCAGCCGAGAAACTATGTCTCACCGTACAGAATTAAATTTATCTCTATTATCTCTATATAAGCGGGTGACTACACCATGTCTCTTGTATTGAAACTAGATACTAACATGAGCAGCAATGATGTCATGTAGAAACAGAGGGAGGAGCCAAAATGCAGAACTGCTGTAAAAATTCTTTAATAACAAAGAAACACCTGAAAATCTATAAATCCAAAAAATCCAAAGTTCAAAACTAAGCTGACATGACAATACAAGACACTGACAATGGCAAATACAACGGATCAGCAAAAGGCAGAGGAGAACACAGGGTATAAACGCACACAGACACAGGTGAAACACATCAGGGCGGGGCAAACAAGAAGTAAAACTCAAACTACAAGCAGACAGGACTAATGTCAAAATAAAACACCAAGGGCACGCAACACTACAGGAAAAATACACCGAAATAAGCAAAAACAACAACTACAGAACATGAACCAAGACAGATGAGCTCCTTTTGCTCTCTATGCTAAGTCACTTTACCTTCAGAGCACTATCACAACACAACATCGCATCAGGTTTGTGAAGTTGTAGTGTGTTGTTTTGTATCATGTTTTTATATTTATGGAGAATTGTCGTGTGGGAGCGTGGGTGACGTAGGGTTGTGGGTGGAGCGTTGCACAAAATCCTATAACCAAACAGGAGGGTTTGAATAGGGCCCACAGAACTACCGTATTTTCCGGGCGATTAGACGCGCTCTTAAGCCTCTAACTGCATCAAAAAATGACCGCGGGCCCCGCAATCCAGAGCGCCCCATACACGAATCCACTCGGGCGTCCCAGCACGACTTCAGTAAACTACAAAGCCACACCACCCGCAGAACACGCAAACACACATGGAGCAGACAGCGACCGCACAGCGAAAAACACCCACAGACACACTCATCACTCCACGCCGACGAGGAACGGAACGGAGGAACGAACCGAAAAAGCGAGTCCAATGTGCCACTTCTAGACACAACTGAACAACTGAGTCACTGCGAACACGCCGACAATCCGTTGGTCCCAGACAGCACCCTCCCTACACGCCACAACTGAACAAAGCCCAGAGTCACCGTGAACGAACAAACAAACAAAAGCACTCACCCATCCAACTGTTGTGTTTCCTTTAAAGTCCCACACGGTTTATTTGTGAAAAAAGTTTGAAAATAGACCATTTAATGACAGTGCGTCTTATAATCCAGAGCACCTAATAGCCCGGAAAATACTGTACAATAAAATCTGAAGGTGAATCCAAGTTGGTGTCGTATTGTTTTCAGTGGCCTGTTCTCTTTGGCGCATGGGCCCAAAAATAAGTTTCTCTTCTGCAATTACTTCCTCAATACGGGCGAGCACCTCCTACCAGTGTGACGACTGTAACGTGCACAGCGTGGGGCGTTTGGACCAATCAGAGCAAGAGCTGCTAGAGCGGGCTCTCTAAGTCTTACAAAAATCACTTTTAGGAACTTTTATAAAAGTTTATTGTAAAAGAATAAGAACTTCGCACATCAATTACTTGAGATGGGTGCGTTGGAGGAGAGGGAGCAGCCTAAGACCATGGAGAAAATTCCCGGACACCGTATTACTTGCAAATTGTGAGATTTATTAGGACAAACCGTGCAACGTTTCGGCACTAGGCCTTCGTCAGGCAAACAACGTTTTGGCACTAGGCCTTCGTCAGGCAAACGACGTTTCGGCACTAGTTGCACGTTTTTTTTTCCATAAAAGTTTATTGTGAAAATAGAAAAGAATCCTACAAGATCAGACCTTTGTGAAAGAGCACGGGCAGTTTGAATTCCCCCAAAATGTGTTGCGCTCTGTGGGAAACTTCTTTCTGAGCTGAAGTTCCCAGGAGCTGCAGTACCTGGAGCGGCCACTAGTCGGTCTCGAGCTGGGACAGAGGGGGAATTCCTTATCTAGTTTTAATTATAGATCCATGATAGAGCCCAGGAGAGATCGCGCATGTTTTTGATGAGGGAATAGCTTTATAACATGATAAAAAGCTAAAAAAGGTCAATTTTGCATAATACCTCCCCATTGTAATTCTGGTAATGTAATCCCTTTGTATGCACACCAGACTCCTGCGCGGCACAGTGGTAAATCTGCGATAGGTCTGACAGTGTATGAATAGAACATGGAGGCTGGGTGATGTAGTGGCTCAGATCTGCACATGAATGCGGGCTCCAGCTGAACTCTGCAGTCGCCATCCATCACCTCCGCCCCCTCCACCCCCTCCACCTCACCCCATAGCCCACATCGCAGCAGCGCTACACTGACCTTTAAAGTTGAACAAAGAAACAGGCCCAGTGCTTTTCGAGAACCTCCCAAATGTTTGCCAATTACCACCAAACAAGAGCCTGTCCTTGTCCCTACAACAACTACTTCATTTCGTACACCGAAAACGCCAGCTGGATTAATCATACTGTTTAAAGGTTAGCTCAGACACCGGGGGAATATTTAAAAAGAGGGTATTTTATTTCTACGGTGTGTTAACTGCTAATACATAACATATTTGGCTCACCATGTTGCCTTTTATTGTTTTGAAAGTGTTATAATCACCAAAACAATGTATTAAAGGTCATAAATTACACATAATTTACTCTTCTGAGCTTTAAATCATGTCATAATGTTGTTGCCTCCTCAAAAACAGACCTGGAGATGTGTTTTTTTCATTCATACATATTTGAGAAACACTTTAATATTGGTCTGTCTACATCTCCAAACCTCAAAATGCTCTGTTCCACCTTGTGATGTCATGAAGCTGTACTTTTCAAATGAACACCTCCATTTAGTTCAGTCAAGTTGGGCAATTCCAGGGCTGAAATGATCCAAATGGTAAATGGTAAATGGTCACATTTTTTCTATAGCGCTTTTCCACCTTCAAGGCACTCAAAGCGCTTTACAACAAGGAACCATTCACCCATTCATGACACATTCATACACCAGTGTACGCAGACACAAATGATTCTAGTGAAGGTGTGTGGAGTTTAAAAACACAGTGGAGCACTTCCTGTATTAACACATGACATCACAAGGTGGAACAGAGTGTTTTCTGCTTGAGAGAAGAACTAAGAATCCTAAATATGCAGGGTTTGTGTGTTAAATGTGTGTGTGTGTGTGAACGAAACAAAACAAAACTAGTCTAGTGCAGAGCTAGAGCGGCTCAGAATGGGACAAGGCTAAGTCTTACAAAGATCACTTTCAGGCGCTTTGAGGATTTAAACATTTTTTAAAGTTTATGTTGTGAAAATAGAAAAAAATATCTACAAAATCCAACCTTTGTGAAAGTTGTCGATGCTGTCGCGATAACCGTAAAAATGAATCACCGTGTTACTAAGAAGCCCACCGCAATCACCGCACGTGACCAACATGACCCGACCCAGAGTCCTTCAAGGGTCCGTTTTTGGAGACCCGCACCAGCCCGTCCCCGTGATAAATCACACACAAATTAAAAGCATTCTAACTAGGAATGTAACAATAAACGAAATACTGTGATATCGTATCGTCAAAGTTCTCACATTAATATCGTGAACCATCACAGTATATCGAATTACAAGTCTCTTTGCTTAAATGAAGAGTCATGGTGCAGCAATGGCTAAAAAAAAGACAGAAAGAACTACATAGGCCATGATCCTTTGCTCCATTTCAGTGTAGACTACATGAAGAAATATATAGCAATAAATATTGTACCGTGAGATGTATATCGTGAAAATATCGTACCGAGAGATTTGGAAATTGTTACATCCCTAATCGTGAGCCTCCCCACAATATCATGAGCTTTCCCACGATATCGCAATAAATATTGTACCGTGAGGTTCATACCGTGACAATATCGTATCGTGAGACTTGGATATCGTTACACCCATAATTCTAACTGGAGCATCTATCAGAATAGGCCTACAAATTAAAAAGTTATGATTTCAAGAATTACAATCACAAAATGAAAGGAAACGGTTACACTTACTTCAGTACGAATACAGACATGACTCGTTCTGTTTGTGACCAGGAAACTACATTATAACTTAGATCAGAAAATAGTGTAATAAGGGCCTTTTAACTTTTTATACATTTCACTTTGCATTTTGATCCTCTGAGTCCCCCCTCCTTTTGCTCTCTGTGCTAAGTCACTCCACCTTCAGAGCTCTATCACAACACAATCAGCGTGCGTCCCGCTAATGAAGCCACAGCACATCACATCAGGTTTGTCAAGTTGATGTGTACAGTTTTTGTAAAATGTTTTTGACTTTGGTTGGGCTCTGGTCTCTGATTTAATAAAATAAATTCCCCCCAAAAAGCGCGACTTGTTATCCGTTGGGACTTACAGTTTGAAAAATACGGTACATGTAATGGAATGTGAAATTATTAAGATCAAGATCGCTGATTGTATTTTTGCATTTTTGCTCTTTGCAGTTTCACTCTGCATTCATAAGAAGAGCATTAAATCTGAAAACTACGACAACTGTCTCATCTTTTAATCAGAATTTAGCTCGCTGTCAAGCTGGAACTGCTAACGTCTCAAACTCGCTCTACATGATCCTGGTGTTTTTATTTTGCTATTTTTTCTGTAACTAAATTCCTACTCCTAATATGTAACTCCAAAGCTCCAAATTCATACTTCCTTAGTCCATTTCTTTACACAGTCTGTGGCGGGGGACGTACCTTAGCGGTGGCGTGGTTGAGCATCTCCTGCCAGGTGGGGTCCATAGTGTTCCGGTCGGCCAGCAGCCCCTGTTCTGCCACATACACCATCTCCCGGGCAGCGGAGTGCATGGACACGGCGCGCTCGTACCTCAGGGCTGCCTTCTGGGTCTCCTGCTGGGCCTGAAACACAAACACCATCACTCAGAGTCAGGAGCAAAACACAGAGGAGGCACGCTGAGGTGAGACCAGTCTGTTTATTAAGTGGGTTGACAAGCTGAAGCGTGTGTGAGTTTAGGTCTATTTTGAGGAGGAAACGACATTATAACATGGCTTAAAGTTCCCAAGAGTAAATTTTGCGTAATATAACACCAATTTTATGACAAATCTGAAGTGTGTTATTGAAAGTAAATAACCCTAAATCAGTATTATCCCCCCGAAACTATTCTAAATGTACAAAACGGTCAAAAACATGAGTTGCAATAAATAAAAATAGAAGAATGAATCACTTTAGTACTTGGTCTGTGTCTGTAATGAGTCATAGAAGTTATTAATACAACTCTCGACAGCTCTAATCTGATCAAAGAACAGAAAAATAATAAAAAGTTCCACACGAGTACAAAGAAAAGGTTCACACGATAAACACTGACCCCAAAATATATTGTTCTATCTTTGATATATTAGAGTGGTCAACATGAATTTTATTACATAGAAGATGAGTATAATATTGATTTTTTATTTATCATTATCCACACACAAGAGCTCAGATCAGTCCATGTTCCTTTTTTTTACACTGTCACAGCACTTTAGAATGACCCATAACACACAGATGGGTCAGTAATGTGATGTGGGCATTTTTAAGCCCAAAAGCCACCACTTTTCTAGTTATTAATGTTTGTTTTATATCATTTTAGTTCAACCAATACACATTTGGAAAAAGAAACCAAATTTGAAAAAAATATTACAGGTTTGAAGTATCAAAAGGTCATTTGGAGAAAGGCAAAAGGAGAAATTAAATTTGTCAACTGGACAAATGTTTATTTTGGTCGAAAACGTTTTGCAGCTCATCCAAGCTGCTTCTTCAGTTTTGGTCAGATGCTGGTGGTGTTTTACTCATTTTATTATATTTTAAAAAATAATAATAATTTAAAAAAAAATTAAGAGTTGAGAGTTAATGCTGTTTTAGGGCAAATTGTAAACTTAAATAAAAAAATAAAAAAAGTAATAATAATCATACTAATACTAATAATACTACTACTAATAATAATAATAATACTACAGATCTCACTTTGTGTTTTCATCATTTTCCATAGTATAAGTTATTTTAAATTTAAATTTTAACAATATGTCCATAGCACCAAAAGACATTTTTAAGATGTCTGTGGCTTTAAATGCAGAAAAAAGTTTTTGTCCTGTCAAAGTATTTTTCAAGAGACTTATACAAAATTAGAAAATATACACTTTAATATACCAGAAAATGTACACATTTTACATGCCATTATATTTTCATTTTTGAGCATTTGGAAACTGCAAAACTTTACTGACACATATACAGATATATAAGGCAAGTCAGTCTCAGTCAGGTCTCCTCGTAAATGCCTCATAGATGCCAAATTCTAGATAAAATGCTTTAAATTCTATTAAATTCGAGATAAACATACTTAAAACAAGTTTATGAGTATGAACGGCCTGATAATAAATTCAAAGATGCTAAATTCTAGATATAAGTACTTGAAATCAGTCTTACATAATAGTAGTTAGGTCATTCATACTAATCATAAACTGGTTTTAAGTATGATTATCTAAAATTTAGCATCCATAGACTTATTTCCAGCCCATGATCACTTACCAGAGACTGCTTCGTTCTAGTCTAGAGGTTGTTTATTTTAGATAATTTCACTTTCTCATAGATTTAACTGTTTATATCTTAGCTTTTTTGCATTGCAAACGTCTAATCCGACCCTGTGGACTGACTGTTCCTCTTCATAAAGGAAAGGTCAAAACATGAAATCTGTCAGGGATTGGCAAAAAAGAATTGCTTTGTATCGATCACGTTTTTTTATTCTGTTTTGTTTCCTGGCCTCCATCAGTTATTGCCGCTGTAAAATAATATAATGGACTTGTTCTATGCGCCAAATTAGAAACGTTTAGACTGATTAAATCCTTTGCAAAATGTTGCCACAGGGAACGCAAATTGCTGTTAGTAAAGTGCGACTAAATATTAAAAGTGCACTGTGTAACTCGTCTGGTGCGAGCCAAATTACAGGTTAGATTTGTGGAGAGGCGACTCCACTCACAGTAAGAATGGATGTTTTTTAATTTTTTTTTTTTTTTAATAACACCTGTAGTTGACTAAATGCAAACAGATTAGTTGCAGACCCTCTCCAAAAAAGTTACACAGTTGACCTTTAAATCTACATTTTGCTACTAAACAGTGTATATTTAAGGCTTTTTAGTCGCATTCTCCCCTGTTTTTCGAGTCCATTTTTGCCCTTTTAGTTTAAACTAGGTTAATTTGCAGCTCTGAGGTCTGAAACTGTCAAAAACTGTGTGGGTGCTGCCAGTTCTGGTTAAACTCTGCAGAGTTTGAAGGGCAAGTGCAAGCCTGTTGGTCCAGACCCGCCCCTCCTCACTCTCACTCTCCCTTTAGTCCTTCACACCCTGTCCATCTTCCCCTCTCGCTCTTCTCTTTAGTCCTCCAGATCCTTCATCACTCTCGCTCTCCCCTTTAGTCCTCAAAACCCCATCCATCCTCACCCGCACTGTCCCGTTTAGTCCTCCAGACCCGTCCTGCTCCCTTGCTTTCTCTTTTAGTCCTCCAGACCCTGTCCCTCCTCCCCCCTCAATCTCCCTTTTAGTCCTCCAGACTTGCCCCTCCTCAACCCTCACTCTCCCCTTCAGTCCTCCAGACCTTGTCCCTCCTCCTCACTCTCTCCTTTAGTCCTCCAGACCCTGTCCCTCCTCCTCACTCTCCCCTTTAGTCCTCCAGACCCTGTCCCTCCTCCTCACTCTCCCCTTTAGTCCTCCAGACCCTGTCCCTCCTCCTCACTCTCCCCTTTAGTCCTCCAGACCCTGTCTCCTCCTCCTCACTCTCCCCTTTAGTCCTCCAGACCCTGTCCCTCCTCCTCACTCTCCCCTTTAGTCCTCCAGACCCTGTCCCTCCTCCTCACTCTCCCCTTTAGTCCTCCAGACCCTGTCCCTCCTCCTCACTCTCCCCTTTAGTCCTCCAGACGCTGTTTATTCCCTCACTCCTCACTCTTCCCTTTAGTCCTCCAGACCCTGCCCTTCCTCCCCCTCACTCTTCCCTTTAGTCCTCCAGAGCCTGTCCCTCCTTCCCCTCACTCTCCCTTTAAGTCGCCCACAGCATTCGGCTCCAGTCAAATGAAGCTCAAAGAGGCAAGCTGTTATGGGGCGAATTTGGAGCCGAGTTCCATATTAGGAATAAGAATTTCGCTGTCATTTTAGCACTGCTTTTGGGCCACTTAGTGCATCCGCTCAATTTCATTTCTCTCCAGCGACTAGGTCAGGAATCAGAATACACTAGACGATTTGCAAGAACCCTGCAGGTTGAAGACCGCACACTGACCAATCAGTGAAGAGCTGTGAAGCCATGACGTCAAACTCGTCGCGTCTGTCTGTGTCCCTTTTGTGGAACAACACAACAGTAAACAAAGTGTCGAGATGGATGTAGACGAAGACAGACATTTTGTGTTGGCAACGATTCCCGAGATCAAGGATTTAAAACTGGAACAAAGAAAATTTTATTGCCCTTCTTCCGACATGGTTTGGCGCATTACATACGTCGTGACCAAATAGCAGCGATTGGTTAAATAAAAAAAGTTCCGCCTACTGTCGAGCGAACGAATTCTAATGCTGCGAGGTCAGACGGTTTCCGCGAAGTGAAATCGGGCTAGAGTTTTACAGCTTTTACAGTTGCTCAGCAAAGTTAACCCCCTTTTTTTTACCCAAGGCAAATATCAAAATATACAAGGAAAAAATCTTGTTAATTAAATTTCCTCTTGTGGCACAAGCTCTTGTCCCATCTCTACTCATTACACCGATAAATGAGCCCTATGCACACTCACGTCAGGAAACAGAACTGTCAGAAAGTAATCTGGAGCCAATGACAAAAAGAATGTGTCTGTATCTTTGAGGATACTTTCAAGCATGATAAACAGATGCCTACATATCTTGGATAAAATAAAAATCACATATTGTATGAAAAGTGAAAGGAATGTAAAGGTAAACACAACATTACAGAAAGATTATGTGTCTGTCCTTTTATATTTAGGAACTTTTTCACAGCTTTTTGATAATGTTCCTTTTTCTTTTGGGTTTAACTTTACACTCTAACTTTGCATATCTTAAAAACAGCTATTCCAATATTGTTCTGTTGTTGAAAATATTCCGCCCACCTCGACTCCAGCACTAAAAACAATAGTATACACAGCCGCTCACTACGTTTACAGGCACAGAGAACTCCAATATAGATTTACTAAATGTTGGACAAGACAAAAGCGGACGCAGTGAGATTAGAGTCATTTATCGACGCTTTACGGACACTGCACAGAGTTTGCTGCTGGGACCAAATGAATCAGCAAAAAAAGAAAATGCAGATGAAGTTGTTGAAGAAAGTGAATCATCTACCTATTAAGGCGAGGAACGTCAGTCTGTGTCTCCTCTTGTTTGTTGGTCTTTTCCACACTTAACTCTCAAACCACTCATCGGACTGATCTCAAATTTAGAGGATGTTATCCCAATGGTACGAGAATGTGCAGTGCCAAGTTTCATGTTGTTAAGGCAAAAAATGTCAAAGATCTGGTTTAATGAAATTCACTTTGTAATTGAGAACATGTGTAGCCATGAAACTACTTTGGTGGGACTAAACACCTAAATTCCACCCACAATCACATTTCAAAAAGAGCTGCTAAACTGGGCAGAACCTGGAGGACTAAAGGAGAGAGTGAGGGGGAGGAGTCTGGAGGTATAAGGAACGGTGGGATTGGTAGTACCAGTAGCAGTAGTCCCCAACCTTTTTTGCGCCACAGACCGGTTTTATATCCGACAACATTTTGTGCATGGTTAAGTCTGTTTTAGTCCTTGGTTTAGTCCTGGTTTAGTCCTGGTGTAGTCCTGATCTAGTCCTGGTTTAGTCCTGGTTTAGTCCTGGTTTAGTCCTGGTC